GCAGTCGCTCTGCAACAGGAGTGTGCTGCTGTTTGTAGGCATTTAGGAACGATGGTGAAAGAAAGATGGTGGCGCTTGCACTATTGATAGTATCGGGATGCAGGAATCTATAATTCTAAAATGAGCTTTTAGAGGCAAAAGAAGGGTCCCAATTGTAAAATTTAACCATAAAATGGATTATTTGTTGGAAGAGCATTCAAAGTAGCCACTAAAACAATTAGAATGTTTACGTGGAAGTATAAAAGAACACACCCTTTATTTCATGTTGTACCCAAGTTTTACCCAATTCCCAAACAGTGTTAGAGTGAACCTGTGCTATAAAAGTGCCGTGTTATACGGGGGTTACCTGTATTATAGTCTGTCTATGAAATGAATCAACTTGGGTATTAACCAATGAGCATCAGCCACTGATTACTTAGTTGTAGCAAGTTACTTCTGTTTTTTTCTTCATTTGTTAAACATGTCACCACCCTTATAAACAGTATTATGGAAGCTTTCATGTTTTGGTATTGGAATACAAGGAAGTTGCTGTAGTAGTAGTAGTAGTAGTAGTAGTAGTAGTTAAACTCATCATTCTTTACAGTTAATGAATGCTAATAAAATATTAACATAATTATCAGAAAAGTTAGTTTACCATCTAGTGAGAAAAAATAAAATAAAATTTCACATAGTGCCTGACATATTAAGTGGAAAGTGCTGACATCATTAGGGAATGTGCTGATTGGTTTAACTGAAGCAACATCATGCATGAAATTGCTCTCAAGTTGAAACAGACTATAGTTAATCAATATTGGAAATTTTTTGAGTTAGCTCAATTTTTTTTTTTTTTTTTTTGTTACTTTTAATTAAGAATTTAAAAAGATACAATAATTAAAATATCCACTACTAAAAAAAGGCTGTAATATTACCAACTGTTTTTACTTAAAAACTTAAGATTTTCAAGATACTACCGTCAAATGATATCACACTTTGTTATTAACATATTACAGTGGTAAATTGGTACTCAAATTCAGTTTGTTCCTAGAGGATGTTTGAGTTCCAAAGCAATTTTTCTCCTAAAGAATAATGTAAAATGAATTAATCTATTCCCATACTCCAAAAATGCCCATTTTTATTTTTAAAAATTATAATTTCTGCTAAAATAGCACAAGTAAATGCCTTAATTACTGCATTAAACAATGTAAATAATAATAATAATAATAATAACACAGCTACAGAAAACATCCATCGCTCATTGCACTCTTCCAAAACACTATGCAACACTGGAGAACAACACTACATCCCAGGATTCATAATACTTCCATACAAAAAAACCAAGTATTCATCAAGTGAGGAATTTTTCAAAGAGATTCCTTGAGTTATCTCTGGTTCTGTTTAGCCCTGAACCCATTATCCAACATGTTAAACAACATGCAAAATAGTTACAATATCAGACATGAAAAAACAACACAGTTGTTTTTTCATGTCTGATATTGTAACTATTTTGCATGTTGCAACACTGTCACATCTCATGTACCTGGATGACAGAAAACTTTATGCATCCATGCAAAAAAACTTTATCAACTCCTACAAATAACACATTCATACACCAAGAACATACAAATGGAGTTTAGCCTAGACAAATGCAAAACACTTCACACAGAAAAAGGAGTCTTGAAGAAAGGAGATTTTGCACTTGGAAATGGAGATGTTATTGAAACCATGGATGAGGGCAAGTTCTACAAGTATTTAGGATTTCAACAGGCCAAATTAACAGAACATTCCCAAATAAAGCAAAGATTAGTTAAAGAATCCAAAGTAGGTTAAATGCTATTTTCAGAACACAGTTAAATGCAAAATACGCAGTAAAGGCAATAAACACATATGTTGTCCCACTACTCAAAAATTCTTTTGGAGTTATACATTGGACTAACACAAATCTTGAGCAACTCCAAATGAAAACAAGAACAACACTTACTAAGCATAAACATCATCCNCAATAAAGTGTAGGGGATGAAATGAGTGCAGCTGAGCTCGTTAAATGCATGTCTCAAACTTGTATCAATGAATTTAGAAAAGTTTGGATTTGGGTTGCAAACAATGAAAAGCCCAAAATGAAGTATTTTCAAGGCACTACTGTGTTCTTTTCTTTAATTTGTGAATTGTAAATAATATTGCTGTTTTTTTTACTCTGAAATAGAATATGTATTAAATTCTTAGTTTTCTAACATTTTTCCATCATTTTCTTGATGGTAAATGTAGAAAAAGAATATTTTTTAGAATAATCAAACAATCTGCAGGATTTTTATTTGGCTATGGTCTAATTAATAATTTAATAATAAGAATAGTAATGAAGTTGCATTATTTTCTAAGTCTAGACTGTTTTATCATTTTTGGATAGGTCATCTTAGCTTTACATAACTGTTTAAATTTTTAAATTTTATATGGAAAAATGGATGGAAATTTTATACTGTTAACTAGGGATTGTATACCGGTTTACCGATAAATTGACAAAAAACATTCGATAAACTTACTGGTAAATTTTTTAAATTTACCGGTAATTCGGTAAATGAAAAATTGCTACTAGAAATTGCTATGTAGAAAATATTGTGTTTATAGATATTTAAAAGGGCTAAAGGGACATTGAAAAAAAAAAAACAGTAAGCAACAATATACCTCATTATTAATTTTATGTGAGATATTTTTTGTTTAATTTTAATTTAATGACCATTCGTCCAACAAGTGTTGAATCAGAAAGGGTATTCTCGGGATCTGGATTATTTTGTACAAAAATTAAATCAAAATTAGGAGGTAAGACTATAAATAATTTAAGTTTCTTGAGAAGTTAATTTTTTTAAAAATGGTAATCAATAAAATGGTATTAGGTACTATATATTATTTCTGTTGTATTTTTATTTTTCTGTATTATTTTATTTCTGTTTATTTCTATATTTATTATTATAGTTTGTTTAGAATAACACTTTAATTTTTATATTTTTTATATTTGATATCTTTGAAATAAAAATGTGAAATGGAAATCATAATGACTTATATTTTTTATCACCTTAATTTTATTTTTCAAGAAAAAAATTTACCGGTAAACCGGTATTTTAATTTTCATTTACCGAATTACCGGTAAATGAAAAAGTCGGTAAATTTACAATCCCTACTGTTAACTCAAATTTGACTTCTTAATTGCTTAGCCTTATATTAAATTATTACAGAACTTACACAGAAAGAAAAGACACTGACAAAAATAATTGAAAAATTAGTTCAATAAATAAAAATGAAAGGGTTAAAAATATTACTAGGAAAACCTATTTTGTTTTTGAAGTATGATGATGACTGGCAGAGAGATTCCTAAAATCCCTGTATGTGTAAGATTCCTCACATCTTTGAAAATGTTATTAGCGAGGTTGTGGCTGAAGTTTTCATCTCTAAAACATGAACATCAAACATCAAGCGGCACTTGATGTTCATGTTTTAGAGATGAAAACTTTGGCTACAACCTTGCTATTGTCTCTGGTGCTCTATAGAAGAGCACTGCATAATTCACCATCTTCAATTTGACAGGCTTCATCAACATACAGTCTGCTGGGTTTTTTTTTCTTTCCATATGCCTTCATTACAGAGAAGTAATCAAGTTTAAGAGAAATAGAAACATTCATTTTTGTTGTGCTGAATGTTCTAAATTTGTGGGATGAATAGAAATTTGCCCCACAAACTGAGAATAATTGTGTTGTAAAAGAAATCTGTAATCACAAAAAAGCATTCAAAATATGATAGATTTCAATGAAAATTTAAGGAAATGCTGATAAGATAATATACTAACACAGTTTTTAATAAAGTGAGTTTTATAATATGATACTTACCAACAAAGTTTATCAATCATCAAAAGTATATATCTGAAAAATAAACAAAATAAAATACTAAGTTACAAGTCCAATTTTTATTTGATAAAATGTTTTTTGAGATTAATGTGTCTCAGCATCAGATTAAAGTGAAAAGGAATTCTAAATTGAGCATACCATAAACCTGTTGGTTAATATTTGATCTTATTCGTTTCATCAAAACTCAAATGAGTTAGAATCCAAAAATTGAAGTTCAAATTTACACAAACATAATATTAATATAAAAATTAATAAATAAATGATGATGATTATAAAAATATAACATTAATATATCAAAAAAGGATAAAAATGAAAATAGCAATTAGCATTTTTATTGGTTTAATCTACAATGGAATTGATGGAAGATGAAACTAGAACTCTAGCAGCTAAATAGAGAAGTATGTATTAAACTATAAGTTTGGTATCTAGAACAGTGTTGCCAGCATAACAAAAAATAATGTTTAAAGAAATTCTGATTTGTTGGTTATTCTCTTTGTCAGGTATATGCAAAATTTTCTTGAAGTTTTGCTTCTATTTACACCAAATTTTAGTGCAAAATTTCAAGAGTACTTTTGCATCCAATATGAATTTATAAACATAAAACCAAGGGTATACAATGGGTCATCTCGATAAATTAAGGATTTTGGAGCAAAGAAATAACAAGTCAGAATTAAATGTAATAATTTGACATTTCTGTTTATTCTGTGTACAGTTGAAAGTGAACAAATTGACAAAATTGAATTGAATTTTTTTTTTTTTAAATATTTAGTGGGATATTTGTGGGGAAAACTACTGCTGTTTGCTGTGTTCTAGCAATACTTCAAATTCATTAAAACCTGATTTTCATTAAGTGTTTGGTTTTAATGCTTGTGTTAGAGACTAGTCTTGGATGAGTTTTTTGGACGTATAATCTGCTTATTTCTTATTTAAAAAGTTAAATTGTTTTTTGATAAACTATATTTGATATAATTAGTACTCAATTTCTTATAAATATATTTGATATAATCTTAATAATTAAAAAGGAATTTTAAAAAAGGAAAATTTAAAAATTTTATTTTTGTATAAATTATTATTAAGTAAAAAAAATTTAGTGAGATTTAGAAAATTTCATTGCTAAAATTTTCTAATTAGGATCCATCAAACGTTTCTCAAGAAAGAGAAAATGGAAAGGTTAAATATGATAGCGATTCTAAGAAAAAGCAATCGGATGACTCTGGTGTTCATGGCAATGGTATTCTTCAGAATGGACTTGATGAGGAAAAAGAGTTCAGGTACTTGTAATGTTTCATAATTGAAACTAATTTAAAAAATTTTTTTTATTAGGATAATAAATAGTTTTATTGAATATTAAAAACAATACAGGTGCATATTAATATATATCATTTTGAAGAAAAATGCCATTAAATGAGTTCTTACGTTCATTTTAGTGAAAATATTAAAAGTCATTTACAAATTATTTTAAATTATGAAAGTAAGCATTTCTTGCATCAAGGAGAAATTGCAGCCAATCTCAATGATGATTAGTTTTACTGACTTTCTCGAGATGAAAAAATATTCCTGATTAATTAAAGTGTTGATAGCCAAATAAGAGTTAATTCATAGTTAGTGATCAGTTTTCTCATAAAATGTAGTCTTGCCTTAATGCTGGAAATGAGCATACTTGTATAAATAGATATTGGTAATAATTAGGAAACATGATATAAGGAAAATAAGCTTTGGCACCAGAGAACTGAATAATTATTCACAATTATATAATACCAAGTAGTCAAAACAATGTTATTAAAACTGATGAAAATACTTTTTTTGTTGCTGATATTTTCTTTGAACATTCTTGCATACACATTCTGTTTTTCTTGGCACACTACACAATAATAATGTGTTTCTTGTTGTTATTGTCTAGCGCACTTACCTGACATACTTTGTATGTATGCATTTTTTCAGTAGCTGGTATAGCTTTTAATAGATTTGTCTTTGATTTGACCTCTCTTTGCCGTATTTGGCATTTTATTTAAACATTCAAACTTTTTTCCCTCTGAATTTTAGACTTTTTTTATTGAACCAGTTACTTGACAAAAATATTCCTATGCATTATACAGGTTTGTTTAAAAGTAATGCACCATAAGATATTTTCATGCTTAAGAATTATGTATGTAAGAATTATGTAAAACTGGGGGAGCCAAAACAAAAGAATGGCAAGATTTGTCATGCTTAATTAAATCTTGTAAGCTATAAATGAAAAGCTATAAAATCTATAAATGAAAATCCCTTATCCAACAAAATTTTAATTTTGTTGGATAAGGTTTATGTTTTTATTTAAAATGATGGGCTCCACTACCTGTCATCAGGTTATATGGTTGTGAGGGGGTTTTGCAATTCAACATGAATGCTGAAAACAGTGCTACTGCATAGCATTTGGGCAGTGTATAACTTTGGATTGCAATGAGATAGAACATTGAAATTGGTGTTGATTTGTATAGAATGACAGGATCTACAATATTATTTAGCAATAATAATCAGTAAAATAGAATTTGTGAAGTTATATAAGCTTATAAGTGTGCAAGTTGAAGAAAATTTTCATAATGTCAAAGAAATTTCAAAGTAAATGAACAGAAGAGTAAGACATGTCTATCATTGGAAAGAAAAATTTTAAAGGAATCAGAAAATCTCAAAATGACTAATGCTGAATAATGCAGATTGTATAGAGAGCATAAGAAACAGAGTGTATAAATTCTGACAATATTTCGAGTGCACTGTCACCTGAACTGATAGATATTCATTTGAATGTGATAATCACCAAGACTTTATTTGTTGACATCTTATCCTTCCTGTAATAACACAAAGATTGTGCAACATCTGGTTAACCCATTGCAGTCAGTTGATGCCATTGAGGAGGCAAAGAACTGTCACTCAGCTCAACAATATTGTGTACAAGACATTTTGGGCTGCATGGTGGACTACATGCAATTTATGTATTTTTATTCATTGTATTCTCTGTTGCTGGCCACGTAAAGTACGTGGAGATGATAACCCTGCCAATCTTGTTGGATTGATGATCAGTGATAACTTGCAGTTAGAGAAAAGACATCTTCAAATGGCCTGCAGAATTGTGGAAGTCCACATTTTTTGAAAGTATACCAAAATAACGCTATAAAGTTAAAACCAGGTTTTCAGAAACTCCATTGGCACGACCCATTTTTTTGCCAAAACGCTGTCGTTCCCATTATAAGTTTTAGGGGGTGGGAAGAAAGGTATTGTCCTTGAATGGTTCTGTGCTGGACCAAAAATAGCATGTGATAAGTGATTTCAACCCTTCATGGAGTGAAAAATTTATTCTCTTTAAATTATTTTGAATTTTCTGTCTCCTTGCTTTAAGAAATTTGATTTTACAACACAAAGCAAGTCTTTTTCTTATTTAAATAAAATGAAATTCTTTTATATGATGTAGAAATGACATAGATAATTGCATAATCGATTTTTACACAAAGTTTTTTATTTTTTGTAAGAAATGAGTAGAGTAAACATTTAAAAATTTGGTTGACTGTATTTAATTTTTTTTAAACATATAAAAAATATCATGAATATACAAAGAAAAAATTCTTGCAATTCTTATTTTTGAGTCATTGGTATGAATGATGGAAAGGAATACAAAAGCAACCTCTTGCACAACTCCTGGGAAGATAAATCAATACAAAAAAAAAAAAAAAAACCTTTTTTAATATCCCAGTATGAACAGATTAAAACAAAACAAACGTTTTCAACCATAAACTTGGTATTCATCATCATATACTGCTAATGGCCAGTATAAATTCGAAACTGGAAATTTGAACACAGTGTTTATAAATTATTTTTAAATTCCAAAATAATTTTTTTTTGTGTTGAATACGAAAGCAAGAATTTTTTAATTATATATTCATGATATTTTTATATTTTAAAAAAAATGAATAAAGTGTTTTTTATTAAAAAAAATTATATAATTGTGTGCAAAATGGGCTTAGACATGGCTGAATATTACATAATGGAAAGGAGAAATGCAGAGACTTTAATTGGTCAGGGAATTGGAGGTGGAAATGCCTGTATGGAACCTGTAATTACTTAAATGAATGTAACTAAGAAAACTACAGTATTTAACCATTTTATTATGGTATGATACAGAAACTGTGTTGTATCATAATAAAATGGTTAAATACCGCAGTGTACTATGCATGGAAAAATCCTCTGATGCATTACTTTTGAACAATCATGTGTATAATTATTTCCAGCATATTTAATGTAATCTTCTCCATTTGATGGATTTTCCTTGAACTGAATAATAATGCATTTATATTGTCACACAATTCCAGACACACTCTTGCTCTAAGTTAATCTGTTTGATTTTAGTGTACCTGATTAGATTTGATTATAATTGGCCTGTTCAAAAAAATATGTGAACTATCAGTTTATTTGCATAGATTTTTTGGCAAAAATAAGCTTTTCCTACAAGTTTGGCTGAAGAATAAACATTATAAAGTGAATATAGCATATAATCATCTGCCTGTTCAAGAGTGGCATCTCATACTTCAGACTGTGGCAGTTAACATCTCGATGTATATTGTGATATAGATTGACATACATTGTGATAATTTGAGATTAATATTTATTAATTAAACTGTTAATTAATGCCTATAAACTGATCATTTATCTCAAATTATCAGTATATTAACTGTATTTTAATTAAAAATAAATTTGTGATTATTAATATGATGATTGTATAAAAACTAAATTTTTTTTTAGTCATCAATCTTCTCGTAGTGATGATGATGTAACCAAGTCCTCGGTGAATGATATAACTAAACATACTTCGAACGACGTGTCGCGAGCAAATGACAGTTTTGAATCTGTGGGAATTGATCCTTTGCAGTTTGATTATCCACACATTCATCCTGATTCTCCAAATGTTTTAGATTACCCAGAGGTAAGAACAAGTTTCACTACATTTTGTACTTTCACTGAAAAATTTTTAAACACAGGTTTTTGTGACTTACTTTCTGGTGAAAGTTCTTGCATGTGAAATTTCAGTAAATGACAACTTGTATTTTGAACATATACATGCAAAAATTTGAAACATATTAATTTGTCCTCATATCTGAAGGTTCTAAGAAACATTGAAAAAGTTTTGTAATTCATTTTGATATCTTTGACAGTTCTCATTTTAAAAAATATTATTGTGATATGTTGTTAAATTTATTAGATTATTGGGAGGAAAAGAACATGTTTAATAATTTTACAAAATATGATAGATTGGTATCTAAACAGTAGTATCATTATTTTTTTAATGAAAAATGGATTATTGGCAGTTAAGATTATAAGTAAAAAAAGTATTTAAAAAATTGCATTGTGATGATGATGATTTTAAATTTTAGAGAAGTGATAGAACTCCATTCTTTTCACAATTGTATCATCAACAACGAGGACAGACTCAGTGTTTGCCTATGCCACCTGTTAATCAACAACAATATCCCATGTCTACAAATCAACCGGCACCAAATCATGGAGTGCCACCTGCCACTCCAACTGCCGCACCCTATTCATCTGTACCTTATGTACCAAATCAAGATCCTTACAATTCTTTGGGCACTGTAATGTCAGGTAAATGTACACATAAGTTTCCTATGTAGTGTGTTGTTTATTTATTTCTTCATGGGTAGGAGTTAAAAATGCTAATAAATTATAAAATTAGAGTTTTTCTTGATTTTATTTTATAGTTAAAAGCTGTGTTTTGTATTTTTATTTCTTGATATAAAAAAATTTGTTTTGCTTTTAATTCAGATAAGTGATTTAAATAACTTTAAGATATAGAATTTGTGTATACATTTCCAGTCTTATTTATTGCATTTAAATTAAATAATTGTAAACCTTGTTTACCTAGGTCCCGCAGCAGTCATGCCACAGTATTATGGGATGTCTCCATGGGGTATGTTTCCGCCGGGAAGCATGATGACAGGAAATCGAGGACAGCCGCAAGATCCTTCTCTGCAATTAATGTCCAATGGAAGAGCACCAGGAGCAACTGGAGAAAATTTGTCTCAGACAGGAGTGACAATATCATCAAATCTACAAGAGTCTGGTAATTAGTTATTAAAATGTTGAATATTTGTTTCTTTCTGATGAAAAATTATAACTATAAAGTTCTTTAGAAGTATTCTTAATGTGGTTTTACAGAAGCTCTATATTTGTGCATTTCACTTACTTATGTTAGTGTTTGTAACCATTTTACATACTCATGAAGCTAAAATTCAGAGTATTAAGTGGATTTTAATGTTTTTGTTTTCTTTTTGTTGTTCCTTCTTGAATTTGTTCTGTTCTGTTCTAGTTCATTGTTACTGATCATTAACTTTGCTGGTGAATATTATTTCATGATTGTTTGCATTATTTTAGCATGTGCATTTATATGGGTAGTAAACATTGTGTTTTGTATTAATATGCATTGTGAATCTCAGCATTTTACTTTAGAGAGGATTTTATTGAATTTTTCTTTTAACCTTACCAGTCATTTTAAACTAAACTAAACAATTCTTTGGCCTTTTTGATATTTTTCCACTAGAGTTGTTTAAACTCTAGTGGAAAAATATCAAAAAGGCCAAAGAATTGATGTTTCCTTGAAGACAAAATTAAAATGATAGATCATTTTCAGAGAGGAAATTCACTAGCTATGGTGCTCTTGCACGTGTCATAAATGAATCTACCTTAAGATACATTAAGAAAAAATATAGAGCTTAGAAATGTTTCAGTAAAATTTCTTCATGTGAAAACAAATTATTATTTTCTAATCATATACTATGTTATTTCAGTCTCCTAACTAGTTTTTCAATGAGTTTTTACTTTTGCTATATGTAGTTTTCATATTCACAGCAGTTTTATAGAATGTAACACCTGCAAATATGGAGCTTCTGCTGTATATAGAATTTTAATATCTTGCTGTTCTTATTGGCTTATGTCTTATTGGTTATCGAATGAATTATTCAATTAAAGAAATTTATCAATGTCATCTTCAGGCAAAGAAAAGTTGCATCTTTAATATTTATTCCAGTATTCCAAAGTTAAATTTATTTCTTCATCTGAAGATGACATTGTTAAAATGTTGGAAGTGTTTGTGATGATGATATAATAAAAACTGTTTAATGCTGATAGACTGTAGTTATCTCTTTCTGTAATTGGATAATATTTTGGCATGGTGAACTAATCATTTTTTATGAATGAATTATTATTTTATATAACTAGAATAATTGGATAGTCTTTGAAATTAATTTAAACTTGGTTGTTCAAAATTCTACAAAACATTATATTTCAATAGAAAAATATCAGTAAACTAATTCTTTTTTTAAAATAAGTAGTCATTAATTTGCTTTATGAATTACAATTTTATTAGGCAAATCAGTTCTGTTTTCTAAATTTATTAAAGAACATTGTAGTCATAAACACCTGTATTGTAGAGTCAACAATAGCCAAAGTGGTTGATGCCTTGATACTACAGTTTATGTCTAACAATACATACAGAAACTGGTTGATGTGAAAATTCTTTAACTGTTGTGTTACAGCATTTGAAGTGACTGTACAATTATTTTAGAGTAGGCTTGTTTGTTACATTATTATAGTATTGATATTGACAAAAATATCAATTTCATACATACATGGTATTATATCAGTATTATATGCCAATATTGATATGCCATCACTTCAGTTGCACTATGTAGCAAAATATGTACTTTGCTGCCTTTTGCAAATCAAGTGTGATCAGACAACATTATTGCAAAATACCTTCAGTAAGAGATTATTTTGCAATTTATTAAAGAATTAAGTAATATATAAAATATGTAATTGTTTGATGATAAAATTTGAATTATTGAGACATTTTGCATTTTTTGTTAAGTCATCTTAGCACTGCTTTTAGATATTTCAAAATTTACTGACCATTGTAGTGCAGTTGGATTTTACATTAAAGGTTACTGTGGCTGTAGCAAAGAAGTTACTTTTTCATTTTGTCTGTCTTGCATTTTAGTGATCAGAAAGTTTGCACTAAAGATTTTTTGTAAAATATTGCTATCACCAATTATTGCCCATTTACAATAATATCCATATCATACATAATTGTTTCAGAGTGTATTGATTTGATCAGTATGAATAGTTTTGTTGATATCAAACATTCCTTCTTTATAACTAGTTATGTGCCGGATCGTTAAAAATGTATATCCACGGATACAGATATGGATACAGATCTCAACTTTCGTACTCAGTCTGCGCCGGTATGTGTGACCTTGGACCGATAGTTGACGCTTTGCATTAGTAACACGACATGTTTTGACTTGCACTGCGAGTGTTTTTGTTTATAGTTTAGTGTGACATGGGATAGCATAGATTACGTTTGTGTTTTTGGAGAGTGTTGAGTTAAATTAAAATAAAAGCAGTGATAACGAAAAAGTTTAGTAGTGTAATATGAAATATTTTATGATAGTAAATGATTTTTGCATGATAAAATTTTTGCAATATGAATGTGCCAAATATGTGATTTTAAGAAATAAAAAGTGATTTGAATTGAAGTTATTAGTATTTTATTGCTACCTATCTTTAAAATTTCATATAAGTAATGAAATTCATTAAGATAAAAGGTCCGTTAAAGATCTGCTAAAAAGTAACGGATATGGATCTTTTTTTTCCTCAGATATCCGGTACATCACTATTTATAACTAACTGAATAACAGGTCTGTCTCCTTGTTAGTACGACAGAGCCATTGAGATCCCTCACATTTTGTTGAGTTTGTTTTTCTCCATGTCATTATACCCATATTTGGTCCAACATGAGCACCAATCTCTTGAAAGGATTATCTGCCTTTCTGTAATTCTGCAATTTTTATTTCATTTAAGTCTGAAACCTGATTGTATAGTTGTGATGTTCTTCAATAGAAGATTCTTGATTTTTTCTGTGAGAAAGAAACACAATTCCAGTACTTAACAACAGCTCTTTGTGATCTTTTTTTATACTGTTTCTAGAGGATTCACATACATGCTGCACTCTTGTTTGCATGTTCCTCTTTGTTGACTTGCAGATTTCAAAATCTTATACGTCTTTCTTGGTGTTGCATTTTTTATGCCAATGGTATATACTCTGAGTACTTGTATTGTTATTTTTCAGATTGTACTGTACATATTTTGTTGATTAAGTTGATCTTTCTTTAAGTAAATGTAAAATATGCATATACAGTAGAGCGTCGATTATCTGAAAGTCAATCATCTGAAACGTCAATCATTCGAAAGAATTCCAGTCGGCAAATTTAAATTTCTGCCAGTGCTGTGGCGCTGCAATCTTTGGCTATGTCTTGGGCTACTCAAATATTTTACATTTTTGATACTAAATTAACTTCTGAAGTATAATTTTTTATTGTTTTTATATTTTTCAATATATTTATGTTGTTCGTACAAACTAAAAAAATAATTTTTAATGATATAATAGTCTTCGTTAGGTTTAACATCAATGAAAATTCAAGGCAAAGCGACACGCAACGGAGAAAAATGTCAAGATGGGTTAAATTAATATATTTTTTCGTACTTTTTGTACGTATTTTTTCATAATCGGTTATCCGAAACATCGATCTTCTGAACAACCCTAGTCCCCAATTGATTCGGATAATCGACGCTCTACTGTATTTATATGTAGTAAATACTAAAATTTAATTACATCATCTAACATTGAAAATTTTCATTTAGGTGGACAGTATCAGCTACTGGGCCCTCCTTATTTCAATCAAATGATGAGTAATACCAGACCTCCCATGAGATTAATGCCTCCCATGCTTGTAAATCCAGCTTCAAACCCTGCTAATACACCTGGTAAATAATTTTTTCTTTATTGTAATGTTTATTTAATTTATTATTTTCCTATTGATCTATTTTGTTATGTAATAATAAATTTTCATGTAGCACAGAATGAATGAAATAAAGAAAAATTGATTTTGATGAAAAACAAATTAAATTGTTATAATAAGTTTATAAAGATCTTCAATAAAAGCAGACAATTATATATAGTATGTCTATAATATAGTATATAAATTTGATTTAAATATATCATATCTATTGTATTAATTGAACAAAATTTCTGATCAGCCTATTTTATGCTTTTCTTTTCTTCCACTTAAGAAGGCAAAAGAGGAAAATTTTGGTAGAATTTTAATTTTGTTGGATAAGGTTTATGTTTTTATTTAAAATGATGGGCTCCACTACCTGTCATCAGGTTATATGGTTGTGAGGGGGTTTTGCAATTCAACATGAATGCTGAAAACAGTGCTACTGCATAGCATTTGGGCAGTGTATAACTTTGGATTGCAATGAGATAGAACATTGAAATTGGTGTTGATTTGTATAGAATGACAGGATCTACAATATTATTTAGCAATAATAATCAGTAAAATAGAATTTGTGAAGTTATATAAGCTTATAAGTGTGCAAGTTGAAGAAAATTTTCATAATGTCAAAGAAATTTCAAAGTAAATGAACAGAAGAGTAAGACATGTCTATCATTGGAAAGAAAAATTTTAAAGGAATCAGAAAATCTCAAAATGACTAATGCTGAATAATGCAGATTGTATAGAGAGCATAAGAAACAGAGTGTATAAATTCTGACAATATTTCGAGTGCACTGTCACCTGAACTGATAGATATTCATTTGAATGTGATAATCACCAAGACTTTATTTGTTGACATCTTATCCTTCCTGTAATAACACAAAGATTGTGCAACATCTGGTTAACCCATTGCAGTCAGTTGATGCCATTGAGGAGGCAAAGAACTGTCACTCAGCTCAACAATATTGTGTATAAGACATTTTGGGCTGCATGGTGGACTACATGCAATTTATGTATTTTTATTCATTGTATTCTCTGTTGCTGGCCACATAAAGTACGTGGAGATGATAACCCTGCCAATCTTGTTGGATTGATGATCAGTGATAACTTGCAGTTAGAGAAAAGACATCTTCAAATGGCCTGCAGAATTGTGGAAGTCCACATTTTTTGAAAGTATACCAAAATAACGCTATAAAGTTAAAACCAGGTTTTCAGAAACTCCATTGGCACGACCCATTTTTTTGCCAAAACGCTGTCGTTCCCATTATAAGTTTTAGGGGGTGGGAAGAAAGGTATTGTCCTTGAATGGTTCTGTGCTGGACCAAAAATAGCATGTGATAAGTGATTTCAACCCTTCATGGAGTGAAAAATTTATTCTCTTTAAATTATTTTGAATTTTCTGTCTCCTTGCTTTAAGAAATTTGATTTTACAACACAAAGCAAGTCTTTTTCTTATTTAAATAAAATGAAATTCTTTTATATGATGTAGAAATGACATAGATAATTGCATAATCGATTTTTACACAAAGTTTTTTATTTTTTGTAAGAAATGAGTAGAGTAAACATTTAAAAATTTGGTTGACTGTATTTAATTTTTTTTAAACATATAAAAAATATCATGAATATACAAAGAAAAAATTCTTGCAATTCTTATTTTTGAGTCATTGGTATGAATGATGGAAAGGAATACAAAAGCAACCTCTTGCACAACTCCTGGGAAGATAAATCAATACAAAAAAACTTTAATATCCCATTATGAATAAATTTAAACAAAACGAACGTTTTCGACCAGTATTTATAGTGGCCATTAGCCTGATAAAGACCAAGTTTATGGTCGAAAATGTTCGTTTTGTATAAATTTGTTCATACTGGGATATTAAAAAGGTTTTTTATGTTAATAAATTCATAGAAAACAGTCACACAAGTATGAAAAATTATAT